TAAACGATAAGACTGCGGCAAACGTTTGTTTCCAAATGAGAAAGGTGTTTTCGTTCTCAAACGGTTTGAAGTCATTCGCTCCCAGGGAGATTTGGGGAAAGGTTTCTACGTCCGAGGAGGCCGAGCTGCCAGGACTTGCGGTTGAGAGCAGACAGGGTTGAGAAGAAGATCGCACTAGGAAGACTCACCAAGAATCTCTGCTTCCTGGGACGGGATAACCACATTCCCCCACCCCCACCCTTACTGCTCAGAGACCGGCACGGAGCAGGCAGGCTTTCTGGTTTAAGTGAATTAATTCACCAAAGACTGCAGCTGCTCTTCTGAAGTCAGATTATATTTTAAAAGGTCTATAGACGTTGAAATTTCTCTACAGGAAGTTAAACTCACGCTAAAAAAAAAAAAAAAAAAAGTTAAGGAATGCATCCAGAATTCCAGTTTAATCCCCAAGTTAAAACTGCTCGCTGCACTCCCAAATAGCACACGCAAATAGTACAAATAAATGTGTGCATACAGGCGTCCTTCACTTAGGCGTTTTTGTTTGAAAAAATATTGAATTGATTTTCACTGGACAAAGTTAGCCTTTCTGACTTGTGTGTTCCAACGGCAGAATAGAACTGATTTTGGTGATGAAAGCTATATTTACATTGTTATCTTAAAATTTTTTGGAGGGAGCAGATACACGTAGATGTGGAAGGTCCCCTCCCTGAGCAATCGAAACTCACGTCTTCAGTAAGGGCCTGTAATTTACAAAGAACTACAGGGATTATTGAACTTGGACTGGTTTTCTCCCAGGGAAGGGAAGCGGTGGGTTATTTCGAAAACTCAATTCCAAATACAACCTGAGGAAATCTGGCATTTATACAAACATATGCAAAACAAGCTAAATTGCTCAAAACACCATGTTAAAATCTTTTTACAAATTACCAAAATGAGGAAACAAATCCTCTCAAGAAACCAAATCAGTTTAATGCTTTCTGGGACTGACCTACCTAGTTGACACTGCTTTAAAAGTAGAAAATGTATTCACTCTTCTCACAAAACACTATTGTCTCTCGCTTGCTCAAAAATTTTGGATAGCTCTCTAACATCCCTCAACTAAAGACCAAACCAAAACATACACACATACACACCACCAACAACAACAGAAACAAAATAAAAACTATTTAGTGCTGCCGCTAAAGAGGAAACTTTTCTTTCTTCCCTCTTTGTAAGATGTCATTGAAAATGAAATTTCTAGGAGAGGAGTAAAAAATGAAAAAGTTCAATGAAAAAAATTCACCTGAAATGTTATCATATAGTTCTGGCTAGCTGAGTTCATCACAGGATGATTTTCCATGCTTTAATAGAAAGTCAGTTCTGACTGTGATGCTGCATTTAGATTAGAAAGCCACGATTACTTTCAACTTTTTTTGTGGCATAATTAAATGGTTACATAATTACATATGGTTACATAATTAAATGGCTATTTAATAGTTGGAAGGTAATAACATTAGCAGTGGCATATATAACTAAAATGATCGATTATCTGCCTATATTTATATGTATATTAATTAAGCAATTTTTGTGTAGAGAATAACTTATGGGAACATTTTACAGTTTTCAAAGAATCATCACATTTTTATTTGATAATATATTTATTGTAATGATTAGCACATGGCTTTTCTCCCAAAAAAACACAAAAGCATACGTTTATTTATCGCTTATGCATCTATATAGCCTACATAGCACTTCACCCTCATAGAATCTGCCACCATTTTACGATTCTTTAATCTTTAATCATATATGGGAGAAGGGGAACTTGCATAAACGTAGAATGTGATAAAAGCGTATAGAGGCAGATACACTCAATATTAAATCCAACTCTTCCATGGATGCAACGATATTTACTTTATCTGGCAGGAATTGGCTACACCGTCCACGAAACGAAAACCTATTATTAGTCGAGCACAGCTCCAGAATTTCAAAGATCCTCATTTCAAACAAGACAATGCAAATGCCCCAGAACGGGCCCGTAACCGGATACGCGATGGAACTGGATTCCACATTCTGATAAGTGACTCCCGAGAACCGACCGCTGCTGCCGTGTAACTATGGCTCTGGCGTTTTCCTCCGGGACAGCGGCGCGCAGCTGGCGGCGCACACGCTCACGGGTCGTCCGGGCTGCGGCTGTGGGCTCGGGAAAGGCAGGCCATCTAGACGGGATTAGCCTGGGAGGGATCCCTGCTGGCAAGCTCCGCTTCGGGAGAAGCAGACCCACCGACGCGAGCCTTGAACTACTAGGAGAGGGCAGCCAGAAACTAGGACCCGAGCGCCTGCTCAGGGCGTAAGACTAAGAACAGCTTCTCGCCGCTAGATCAGCCCTGAGCATGGCTGGGGATGGGAAGAGAAAAGGGGGATGGGGCAGAGAAACTGCCCACTAGGCCCCTTGGCCTGGGCTCCCCACGCTCCGGATCCTCACGGGCCTCCAGCCTGGCGGGCCACAACTGCGTCCCCGGACGGCCTGCCGAGGAGCAACCGGGTCAGCGGCTGCAGGACAGAACCACTCAGGCCTAGCCCAAGCGGGGTAGCTGGCAGGGTAGTGCTGGCGGCGGGTTTGGAGGAGATCGGACTGCGTGGGCCTGCGGGTGGGGAGGAGACAGCATTCTGCGTGCTCAGGGAGGAGGCAACTAGGTGGACTCCCGGCGGCAGGGAGCGGGTGTGTGGGCGTGTCTTGGTGTTCCCAGCACCCCGGGGCCACGGGTTCTAAGCTGGGGCTCCTTGGGATGGGTTTAGGGAAGGTCTGGGAGCAAAGCGCCGCGGAGAAGCAAGAGAACATAGCAAGGAGATGCAGGCTTCGGTTGCAAACGGGGGAGAGAGACTTTCAATAGCTTTTGTCATTGTCTTGTCTTTTTTTTGCATCTTGAAATCACTCAAGAATATCACCCAAAGAAGCGAAAAGCATTGGGGACTGAAGGAAGGGGAGCAGAAACATTCCCCGCGACGGTCTATCCTTGGGGATGGGAGTGGAGGAATGGGACTGGAGGCAGCTTCCTTCTTTTATGTTCGCCTGCCATCACGACGCACACACTCAAGGACTCCCACCCCGCAGTGCCGCGCACTCACCCCCACCTCACTCTGGGTCTTTGCGCCCGAGCGCTCGCGATCCGCGGCAAAAGCAGGCGTGTTCTTCTCTCTGCAGCCCCGTGGCCTGGTCTGGAGACGCTGGCCCCGCCTGGGGCGTCAATAGTCTCTGAATTCAAAGCTGAAAGTCACCGGGCGACCCTGCGGCTGAGGGATGGTCGTCCCAGCACAAGGCCCTGCCCACAGAGGGTCTCCACCACCGCCCGCGGGCCGCCTGCCACGCTAAGTACTCCCGGGCGCACGTGGCCCGCGCCGCATCCCAGCTCCCCGGGCGGCCCCAGAGGCTGACTCCCCGCACCATTTCCGCTCGCTCCTGAACAGCTCCGCCTCTCCCCCCTCCCGACCGGCTGTTCTTTCTCTCCTCGGCCTTGGGCACCCACTCCTCCCGCCGTTGCGGGGCCCCGCACAGCAGCTCTCCATTCTCGCCCCTACTCCCATCCCGAATCTGCCGTCGCCCGGGGGCGTTGTCCAGAGTCCCCGCGCCTTCCACCCGCCCCTTCCAGCTGAGGCCGGTTCCCCCTAGCTCCACCATCATGTCCGCCAGAAAACGCTTGAGGGTGGGTAGGGCTGGATGAGGGGCACCACGATGGGGGCCGGAACTGGTCCGCACTTTTTCAAGGCCAGTGCCGCCTCGGGTCTTTCTGTGGGCCTCTCAGCAGCGCCCGCGGCTCCTCATTGGGCTAGACGTGGTGGCAGGTGAATGTCTATTGTGCGGGAACATTATCCCCATTGGCGCGGGTGTCCAGAATCTCAGGGGACCCTGTAGATTCGCCCAGAAAACAACCAGAGCCGCACGAGGGCGCCAGAAGGCATGTGGGTTGGAGAAATGAGAAAGACGCCTCAGGGGGTTCGGGCCTAGACCCAGGCACCCAATTTCCATAGGCGGAAAAGACGGCCTCCACGGTGGGGCCACCTGCCATGTGAGGACAGATCCTGTTCTCAAGACCTTATGAAGCCATCCAGCGTGTGCGGCACTCCAGCCACATCCTCACCAATGCAGTCCACAAACACTGCTTGGCCTCTGATTCAGAATAGCGGTAGTTGACATGAATTGAGCACTTAACATGAGCAGGGCCCTGAACTAAGCTCCTGGCATGTTCTACCTCATTTATCCCTGGCAACAACCCTGAAAAAGGTATTACTGTCTCCTTTTTTGTATACCAAGAAACTGAGGCTTAGAAACGCCCAAGGCCACACACTGACCAGGCCAAGATTCGAACCAAGAGCTGTCAGACAACAAAGTTCAATAATAACTCCCTCGTCCTGTCTCTCACATACCTGCTTACTGCGGCCGCTGCAACGGTTACAAGGGCAAATGCAACCGGGACTTTGCTCACGGGGGCTTATAGTCTACCCGGGGAGACCAGGTAGGCAATACAGCTATAGCACTAGGTGGAAAGTGACAAGTGAACCGACTGTCCTTTACTAACACGTGGTGCAAGTTCAAAGGCGGGAGGGATGATTTCCGGCTAGGCGATCAGGGAGCGCTTCCTTGACAAGGTGCTATCTGAGCAGAGCCTTAGAGAACAGCTTTCGACTCATGGAGACAAGGGCAGGGAAGACGTTCCAAGTGGAGGGAACAGCTTGAGCAAAGTCAACAAGGCGGGAACGGACACGTCGCCCATCCGTACGTATATAAAACATTCCGTCTCCTTCGGGATCCAGCGCCCGGTGTTTACAGGCCAGGAAGTTTTCCTGCCCCCGCGGCAGCTGGAAAAACCACGCTCCTGGGTCATCCTTCCCAGCACTTGGTTGGCGGACAAGAAGCCTCCCACACAAGCCCTAACCGGGAAGGTGCGGCCAGGAGGGGCTGGAATCGGTCGTTCGGGCACCCGAGGCAGTGCAGTCTCGCCCGCAGCAACTTGGACTTCGCGACTCTATACTAGTCCTTGTCTATTTCTGGTAGCGCCGCAGCACCCAACTCGGCGGACGCGGGGGGCGTGGTCCACATGAACCGGAACCAATGGGGAGGGAGGCCGAGGCCAGAGCACCGCCCCCAACGTGACGCAAGACCCCCGGACACAGGCGTCTCAGCCCAGGCCCCAGTCCCTGCAGTGGCTGTAACAAAACCCAGACCCCCAGGTCCGGGCCAATGGAGGCGATTTAGACTGGAGCGGGACCGCGTCTGTCAAAAGGCCGACTCGGCAGCAGCGGCGGAGTCCAGAAGGAGAGCTGGAGCCGCCGCGCTGCCTCCCCGCCCCCGCCGGGATTTATTGAGTATTTGGACTGGACAATTAAGTGGCCCTGATGATGTTACCAAGCCCGGTCACCTCCACCCCTTTCTCAGTCAAAGACATTTTGAATCTGGAGCAGCAGCAGCAGCAACAGCACTTCCACGGCGCGCACTTGCAGGCGGACTTGGAGCACCACTTCCACTCGGCGCCCTGCATGCTGGCCGCCGCCGAAGGGACGCAATTTTCGGACGGAGGGGAGGAGGACGAGGAAGAAGAGAGCGAGAAACTGTCCTATTTGAACTCACTAGCCACAGCCGATGGCCACGGGGATTCGGGGCTCTGTCCCCAGAGCTATGTCCACACGGTTCTGCGAGACTCGTGCAGCGGGCCTAAGGAACCCGAAGAGGAGCCCGAGGTCGTGAGGGACCGGAGCCAAAGTGAGTAGAGGGGGAAAGGAAACGCACCCACACATCTGGAGGGGAGCGCCCGCAAACAGCCCACAAACCTTGCCAGCACGGCTACCCTGCCTTTAACCTTCGGCTGGGGTCATGCCTCGTCCTGGTCAACGACGGCTCCGCAAAGCGCAGGTGCCTGGGAGGGAGGGAGCCGGGGCGGAGCGGGAAGGACGGGGTGACCCCGACAACTACTCCCCCCAGAGGGGGGAGGCGATGCAGCCCCTGAGGGAGGGGAAGGTAGTCATTGCTGCCCTGATGCTGATAAGCAACTCGGGCTCAGCTGCTGAGTCCTGACAACTCAGTATTTTTGCTCTTCCCAAGAGCGAGAGGGGCAAGAGCCTCAACCGTTTCCACTTTCCCTCTGGCGTGAGACGAGTTCTCCGAGTTCTCCGAGGCCAGGGCAGCCGCTTCCTCTTCTCCGAAAAGTCGGTCCAAGCAGGTTGTGTCCCCAGCGTCCGCAGGACGCAGGAACTTTGGTAGACACCAGCTGGATGGTTTCCTCACTTCTCCGCTTGGAGCTCAGCGTCCTGGCATCCACCGCACCCGCAGCGCGGGAGGGGAGAGTCCGTGGCAACGCTCCATTCCGCGCGAGCGCAGCGCTCACACCCCTGAGGCGCCGGCCTTTTTTGAAAATTCGTAATGTTTTGCTTTGTGTCCCAGGCTGTGGGGCTGCCGGCCGAATGAAAAACGCGCGGAACTTAGTTTGAGATCCCGGCCGCTCACATCGGACGGGAGCTGAATTGGGCAGGAAAATCAGACAACTGAATAAAGCCTCCAAGGAAGGGTTTGTTTCTGAGGGGAAAGAGTCAAAGAACGTCTTTCCCCAAGAGGAGGTTGGATGTGGCGGAAGCCGAGGCCTGTGCTCTGACAGCTCCCCTGGGCCTAAAATCGACACGACACTGTCTGAACGAGTCAATCAAATTTCTTTTTCTAAGGTAACACAGACATCGTCACGCAGACATTTAGCAGTGGGCATATGGTCTTTTAAAAGCAAAAAAAAAAAATGGTCCCTGGGCAATGCACGAGCGTACAATCAGATATTTCCGAACAGAAAGATTTTCGCGCAACTCGTGCGCACCGGCCCCCAGATACCAACACGCCTCACATCTTTAGCTCCCCGCGACCGAGTGGAAGGCAAACGAGTTTGCAAATACTGTCGTTATTATGTAGTTGCAAACTTTCATCCTGAAAAATAGTCATTAGTGCGCAGAGCCGCAGGGTAATCTCTTCTCTCCTCTCGCAGATGCAAAGTTCCAAATAAACGTGCACTAACTACCCCTCCCCATGGGACGTGCCTCCACCGGCCAGACGGTCTCTGAGGGTTCTTGGGCTGCCGCAGGGACCCACGGCGCCAGGAGCCACAAACTTTCCAAAAAGTCCAGGCATTTACTACCGCACGCTCCGCGCTGCCACCAAAAGGGGCCACAGTGTTCCGGGACCGGAGCCGCGGTGAGATCGGGAACAGCTAAGGGACGCTGTTGTTTTGCTTCTTCCTCAGAAACCTGCCAGCTGAAGAAGCCTCTGGAGGCGGCCGGAGACTGTAAGACGGCGGAGGAGAGCGAGAGGCCGAAGCCACGCAGCCGCCGGAAGCCCCGGGTCCTCTTCTCACAAGCCCAGGTCTTCGAGCTGGAGCGCAGGTTCAAGCAGCAGCGGTACCTGTCGGCGCCCGAGCGCGAGCACCTCGCCAGCAGCCTGAAGCTCACGTCCACACAGGTGAAGATCTGGTTCCAGAATCGCAGGTACAAGTGCAAGAGACAACGGCAGGACAAGTCTCTGGAGCTGGGCGCGCACGCGCCCCCGCCACCCCCGCGCCGCGTGGCGGTGCCGGTGCTGGTGCGGGACGGCAAGCCGTGCGTCACGCCCGGCGCGCAGCCCTACGGCGCGCCCTACAGCGTGGGCGCGGGCGCCTACTCCTACAACAGCTTCCCCGCCTACGGCTATGGGAACTCGGCTGCCGCCGCCGCCGCCGCCGCCGCTGCCGCCGCCGCCGCCGCGGCCTATAGCGGCAGCTACGGCTGTGCGTACCCGGCAGGCGGCGGCGGCGGCGGGGGCGGCGGGGGTGGCGGCGCCTCCGCGGCGGCCTCGGCCCTGCAGCCCGCCTGCGGCGCGGCCGGAGGCAGCCCCTTTGTGAACATGAGCAACCTGGGCGGCTTCGGCAGCGGTGGCGGCGCGCAGCCGTTGCACCAAGGGGCCGCGGCTGGGGCCGCGTGCGCGCAAGGCACCTTGCAGGGCATCCGGGCCTGGTAGGAACCGGGCGAGTCACGCGGCGGCCACCCCGCCGCATCCTGGCGCCGCGGGACTGAAGCGCGAGAAAGGCTGGATCCAAGGGCCTGGTCCCCTCGTTAAAAAAAATATATACACGTCTCGCTCTCCAGGGCCCCGGAGCGCAGCTCCCACGAGGCCTGGGGAATGGGGCTCAGGGGCGAGGAGGATGCCCGGGACCGGTCTCCGAGACTGTCTCTGAGGCAGAAATGCCGGCTGGGTGCCGGGGAGGACGATGGCCCCGACCCTGGCCTCGGAGGGAGTGCGAGAGGGGAGGACTCTGGCTGCCGCTCGGTACTCCCAGAGCGAGAAGGGCTTCTCTCCCTCTGCGGCGGTCCCGCAGTCTCCGCGAAGCATTGACGAAGAACCCAAAGACGAAAAAAAGCATGAAGGAGAGAAAAATGGGCGTCGTGGCTTGAGAAATCCCCAGGCCCTACCGACCCTTTGCCTGCTTTGCGGGCCCGGAGCGCCACTCCACAGGCGATTTTCCTTTTCCCAACCGCCTGCCCTCCGCGGCGGATACCTCGGCCTGGATCTCAGGATTGTCAGAGGGAGTAGAACTCTTCGAGAAAAGCCAGCGGAGAGAGAGCAAAAGTTGGAGAATGAACAAATCCGAGACCCGGTGGCCCACCGGAGGTGTTACCCGGTTTCCTTTCTGTTTCGTAGTCTGTATTCAGCACATATAATATATATATATATATATAACTATATCCTCACGCCGTGTACACACCCGCTGCCATACACTACAGGAGTCAATAAACAAGGTGCAATATTTCCAAACCCTTGGCCGGCTGCAGACTGTTTAGTCCAAAAGAGTGGGGAGGGGTCCTTTAAACAGGGCGGACAGGGTAGGAAAAGGTGCCTAAGGGAAAGCAGTGTTCCCTGGGCGGCCGCAGGCCTGGTCTCCCCTGCGCCAGACCCAGGCTGCAAGTCTGATCTCCTCGTGGCTTTGTTCGTTAATTTCTCTTTACTCCTGTGAGGAGGACAGGTCAGAGACTCAGGGCCTTTTGAGGTCCCGGGCTTTATAATCCCCCAAGTTTTACCCAGATGCTTGGGTAGTGTCTGGGCTTGCGTTAGATCAAGGTTTTGACTCTGCCCCACCTCGAGGGTCGCCAGGGAAAAGGAAACCTCGTCCCCAGGCGCAGCCGTAGGCGTCGCGAAGGCGGTTCCTTCTTCGACCGCCGCCTGGGCTTCCAGCGCGCTCCGGGGCGCTGCGCTGCGCCCCGCCGCGGCCGAGTTCTCCCCCTCGGCCTCCCTCCCTTCTTCCCCGGCGGCCGCGGCTTTATGTGGCTCCTTGTCACTTGCGGAGAATGCCTGTGCGAGGCCTGTGCTGCCACACGGCCGATTGTGAGCGTGCCAAGGCGGGTGAATGGGGAGGCCTCAGAGCGCCGCGCCATTGTGGGGCCGGGCCTCGCTGAAAGGCGGCTCCGGGCCGGGAAGGTGCGGAAAGAATGGCTTTTTATTGGAGTCCCGAACAAAAGGTGTGGTAGGAAGGCGAAGTCCCCTGCGCGAACAAAAACCCCAGCGCGTCGGGATTGACATCCCCCCCGAGCTCCCCATTGCTTCTCAGAGCGGGGGCTTTGTGCAGCAGTCTGCTGAACAGAGGGACGGAGAAATGCGCGGGGGTTTTGTTCCCCACTTTTTGTGCGCTGGGGGAGGGGGAGGCAAGGGGGGACGGGGACTGGGCGGGCAGCAGGGAGGGGCGCGCTGATTAGGCCGGGCCGGCCGGGGCGCGGAGACGTTCAGCGGGAGTCGGCGGCCTGAATGCAGGGTCATTATTGCTACAAGTTTAGCAATTTCGCCCTTACAGGAGGGGGCGGGGGCTGCTAGGCTGCTGCGGGGCCGCGGAGCTGGAGAGCTGCAGAGACCCGGAGCAGGAGGAAGAAAACAGAGGAGGGGAGGAAGAGAGGGAGGCAGGCCACGGAATCCTCCAAAACCCGCTGACAGCCCAGGATGAGGCTTGGATGCATCCAAAAGGGCCTAGCGGGAGGCTGGAGGGGCGGCGCCCGGGGGGCCAAGACCCTCCCTCCCCTCGCCTCTCTGGAGGCAGAAAGACCCTGGAGCCGAGCGTGAGTTAGGGCACCAGACTGCCGGTTCCTCAGCTCCTCGCAGCCAGTTCCCTCCTCCCTCAAGCTGCCCAAGAGTTGGGACGCCGCCTCCCACCACCGCTTCCACCACCACAACGCCCCAAGCCCCCTTCCTAGCGAGCCCTCTCTTCTGGAGCTATTATCTTCCCTTGAGTTGCTTAGGCTAAGGGCTGGGCAGGGAATTCTCGCTTCCAAACACGTTTCTCACTGCCGGCAGCCGCGAACCACTCATTCATTCATTGATTCAACAGTATTTACTGAGCATCTACTAATGTTTGCTCATTTGCACTGTTACGGATGCTAGGGGCGGTGGAAAAAAACAGTGTCCACAGGCTTATGGAGTTTATTTTCAGGGGTGTCTGTGGCGGGGAGGTAGACAGAAAAACAAATGTAGGTAAAAAATAGATAAATTCTAAAAAGGGGATCGAACCAAATGCTGGTAGGGAGCATTCTTGTGGAGTAGGTGGTCAGAGAAAGCCACGTTGAAGAGGTTACATACATTTAAGCTGATACCTGCATGACAAAAAAGAAGCCAGGCCAAATGGTGCTTTGATGCTGCAGCCTCCATTCCATGCCCCTTCGGGAATGCCCTTCTACTCCATCTTTCTGGTGAACCCTTGTTCCTCCTTTGAGGCCAAACTTCTTTCCTGAACCACCCAAGTAGAGGTACTCACTCCCTCATATGTGCTACCGGAGTCTTAGGTACTTTCCAGTATCACAACATAGTGTCGTGCAAAGATTTGTCTCTTTTCCTCCACGCGAGGTCCAGTGAGGTCGTAGGGGGCCAGGTTGGCATCTTCTTCCTCTAGGACAGTTAACACAGTAGGAGATCATGGGGCCAGGCTCCTTCAGCACCGCCTTCCCGGGTGCTCCAGGGCCATGAAGATGGCCCCAGTGGTGTGGAGCTTCGGCTTGGCTGCTGGCTGCAAGGGAGATGCGGAGGCGGTCTCTTGGCCCACCTCGGCGGAGACAGGACACCTGAAATCGCCGGTAGAAGACGTGCAACCCATCCCGATCCCAGAGGGAGGTCCCGCCTTCAGTACCCCGCGATGCCGCCTGGGGACACGGCTTCCCCAAGGGATCGTTGCTCCTTGCCCTATAGTTCAAAACCTGGGAAAGGTGGCTGAGAACTTCGTGATGACGTTAACACTAGGACTCAAAGTAGGGGTTGGGGAGGACGGGGGGATAGGGAAGAGAGAGAGGACTGAGACGGGGTGGGGATGTATACGATAACTCTGGGACCTGCCTGTGGGACCCAATTTGAAGTCCCATACATTCACCAGGTGAGGAGTATGGTAGGTGATCAAGACCCTGCCGCGCTCTCCCAGAGCGCTCACTTCCAAGGTGGGATTTCAGCGCCTGCGCACTAGGAATCTGAGACTCTGGGCGCAGACGTCCTCGCTCCGCTAGGGGTTTCCTAAGTAAGCAACTCCTTCTCCAACCTAGTCTGCATCCTGCTGGGCGGTGGCCTCTCAATGCTCCCAGCGCCAGATCTCCACCTTCCTTGCCCGGCTTCCTCCTGGCCTGCGTTAATCTTCCTTCACTCTGCATCCCCTGCTGTTCTGGAAAAGAGGCGGTGACCCTCATAGAGGAAATGGAGGTGGTTCTATGGATTGGCTTCCGCGCAGTTTGCGTGTCTTGAAATACTTAAAGCCAGCCTGGACCAGACCCCTCCCTGCTCCCTACCCTTCCCCAGAGCCTGCAGTCTCCGGGTATAAATAACACCCATCTCTTCGCTGAAGGATTTCCGTACTGCTCGTTGCTGGGGTTCCAGGACCTCGGCCATCGGAGGGGGAAGACCCTTGACCAACACAGCTACCTGTTCCTTGAGCTCCCTCTGCAGGGGAAAAGACCCCCTCCCAGGCCCAAACTGCTGCTTCACTAGATTGTCCTGTGAGCCAGGAGGAGTCATAAAATCCAGGCAGGGCTTCTAAAGACCCCTGAGACTTTGAACAGGTGAAGTCAGTCGCCCCTTTGGGCTCTGGCGTCCGAGCTCTAAGGCAGAGAGAAGGATGGACTCTATGATTTCAGAGGTCACTTCTGGCTCAAACCCTCCTTGCTTCCCTGAATGAATGGATTCTCTCTCACACCAGGCTCAAGAAGCGGGTAGGCACCACCGTCGTCGAAGGTGGAATAGGTTCTAGAAGGCCAGCATTTTTTTTTTCTGCAGAGCCTAATCGTGAAAGGTTAAGAGGCTGGACTCTGGAGTCAGGCTGCCTCCATTCTGCTCTCAGCGGCCGCCACACCCCGCAGTAGAGACCTGGAGTAAGTTGCGAGCACTCTGAACCCGTTTCCTCCTCTACAACATGGGTATGCTTACTTTGAACCTACAGTAAAAAGCTCAAATATTAAGCGTACAACTCACTGAATGTTTACATATGTAAACACTCATGTACCAATTACCTTGGCTTTGAAAATTACATGAGATGGTCCGTGTAAAATAGCGCAGTGTCTGGTACGCCTTAGGCATTGCATCAGTGTTGAAGGCAGGCCGTGCTAGGCGCTTTGTTCGCTCAGAAGGCCGGGGCTCGTCTGCGCTTGAGGCACTTCGAGGTCCGAGGTCCGCGGGGAGAGCAGGGCAGGCCCGCGGATTCCGACCCCCAGCGCCGCGGGCACGCGTCACCACGGAGGCGGGTCGGAGCTATTACTGCCAAGCCAGGGGCAGGCGACGCCCGGCGGGGCCGCAGGGCTCGGAAAGCTTCGCAGAGGCTTGGACTTCGGCTGGGTCTGCAGAATTCGACTGAAGGAGAAGGTGAAAGGAGGTTCCAGGCGGAGCCACGAGTCCCCTCTAGCCTAGCCCGTCACTGCAGAGAGGAAAGGGTCAGGTGGGGAAACCCAGCCCCTCTCAGCAGGGCGTCTCCCGGGTCCGAGCTCCTCTGTTCCCCGGCGCCACCAGAGTGACCTAGGGCTGCGCATCTCTGCAAGGGTGGGGCCGGGTGAGGCCCAGTGGACGGGCGCGCCCCGTGCGGAAAGGCGCGTGCAGGTTGGTTCAAGGCCTCAATCGAAGCCTCCTCCTCCTCCTTCGCTTTTTGGTTCAGGGCTCCAGAGGGACTTCCTGGGCACCTCCTCCCAATCCGAGGAGCCCGAGCCCCGGAAGGCCAGCCGATTCTCCGTGACCAGACAGTTCAGTTCCACGCGAAGGGGAAGCATCCTCGGAACCGCCCGGGCAACGCAGGTTCCGCGGGGCGGGCGCCGCCTCCCACCAGACAGGCCCGGGGCGGTCAGAGCCCGCCTGGCAGGGAGCGCACCGACAGCTCCGGGAGAGCCTGGCAACCCTCGGGGTGAGAACCCAAACTTGAAGAGCCAGCAGTCCTGAAGATCTCCACCTGGGCGCGGAGCCAGGCCCAGCGCGCAGCGCGCAACGCGGAGGTAGGACGCTCCGGGGAGAGTTTGCCGAGCCCATAAGGCCTCTGCAGGAAGTCCAGGGGAGGCGTCTGGGCCGGGGGACACTGATCTCAAAACCACGTTTGCTTTACTGAAATGACGCGGTTTTTTATTAACCTAGACTGTAGGTGACATTAATAACAAAGTTTTCTAAAGGGTCGTTTAGAAAATTTATTGACGTTTGAAACATACAGAAAAGACACAAGTGTACAGCTCGCTGAATCTTCATAAACTGAACTCTCCCATGAGACCAACTCCCAGAAGAAACGGAACACTACCAGCCCCCGCAA